TGTTGTTTTGTTTATTTATCCCCTTCCCTTGTTTATTGTAAGCTGCCCGGAGTCCTTCGGTAGTGGGCGGCATACAAGACCAATAAACATCAACATCAACATCAACACACATTGTATACGCTAACTGCAATATCTTTTCCTCTTTCCCAAGTGCAGAGAAGATGGTTTTACTAGATAGCCAAGCTTGCATATTAAAGTCAGAGCCTTGAACTAGAAAGATATCTAGGTTCAAATCCCCATTCAGCCATGAAAATCCCTGGATAGATTTGTGGCACTCCCTTGACTTATAACCTACTTTACAAGGGAAAACAATTGTATGCAGGAACACAGGTAGCCTGAGCTTCACAAGAAAAGGCTAGATAAACATGAAATACACTAAACATGGGATCCAGTGCAATATCTCAGTCTCTGCTCTATCTTTGTCAGGCAAACTATAACACTTTCTGTGACTATTTGTTTCACAGCAGGCCCAATGTTTGGAGACAAAAGGAAGAGGCGGGTTGGAATTGTGGGCTATGGACATCTAGGTAAGTTGCATTTCTTAATCATATTTGTCTTATCAGTCTCTCCATTCACTGAGTCTCCTAGTAGACAAGCAACGTGTAGTTTTTTTATGAGCACCTACTTACAGAAAGATTGGCCAATATTTGTGAAAACATGGGTGTCTTTTTACTTCAAAACAGATTTTAACAAATCAATGTGTTTTCTAAAACATTTGAATTGGGATTTGGGAAAGATACCTTGATTTTTACAAGCATTTTGAATGGAGCCTGGTTGGCCAATTTCTGCCAATCCTGTGCATACCATCTTTCCAGGAAAGGCAGCAGGCAACTGCCCTTAATAGGGGCAGAGGAGACATTGGGTGGATGATAGGGGAAGACAAGACTCCCTTAGGATGTGTCACATTTCTCACAGCTTGATAACCTACTGGCAGCAAGTGTCACTATCTGCCATTCCCCAGAGCACTGCTATAATTGGCCAAATGCTTTGGTTCTTCAGGGAAGAAAAGAGGGTGGGGGGACAACCTCCTGAGGACTTTGCAGAACCTTCATATATCTATGCTAACCCTTAAAAACTTGCAGTGGTCTGAGGGAGATTAAGGGGTATAATATGTGCCTTAAATCTCTGCAAACATTGGCCCCACCCTGTGTTATCACATCACCTGCCCTATATAAAAACAGCTCAGCTTTTAGCTACTACAAAATTTCCCACTCCTGCACTAGAGGCGGTCAAATGGTTTTCTCCAAAGACTCATATTCTCATATTTTTCAAACCCAGGCTTTTTCTTAGGTCTTGATTTTGACCTGGAGCAAATGCCAAACTGTTCTTTCAGTTTTGATTAGTTTACTGTAACTGTCAGGATCTACTAACCCCTCCTCCCACCCGCTTCTGATTTTTTTTCATTGATTTTTGCTTTGGGCTAATAAAACAAGCCTCTATCTTCTTGTACATGTGCTTTTTCCCCTAAGTACATAAGGTTTATTTTGCTGGATCAGAAAAAAGATTAATGTATTGCTCAGCATTCTGTTTCCAATGGTGGTCAAACAAATCTTTCCTGAAGCTCATAAAACACATCCATTGTACTAAGCTATAATGTGATTTGCTTGGTTTTGGCTTAGTGCTATATAAACCATGATTTATGTTTGGGCATATTATAGTTTGCTCCATAAATCATGATTAGGCAAGTTATATCTTAACCTGACATGCATGAACTTAACCAGCGCATAAGAGCCCCCCAAATCATTGGAGATTCTAATCTAAACAAAGGAAATTATTAACACAGAGTCACTCCCCAATATGCCAGAATTTTATGAGTGTATTTTTCTCCCATATCTGGAGCATAACAGGTGCATGAGAGAGTTAAGTCCACAGTGGTGATACTTACTATTTCATTTTCAATCTTCAGGCCAGTATCTGACAGAACGAATTCAGGATGAAGGCTTCCAACATGGTTTGGAATTGGCTTTTGTTTGGAATCGGGATGCCAGTAAGATGGAGGGCACTGTACCAGTGGGGCTGAGGTTGGAGAAGTTGACAGATTTTTCACAATGGTGAGCAGACAAGCCCTTTCACAGTGAAGACAGAAAAAAAATTATTTATGATCTGTCAACATACTTCAGATCATTGCAACATCCCTAGGGTCAAATGATTGCAATCTATCTGGGTGCTTGGAAAGTGGCTTACATTAATAATGGTTGCAAAAATTTAGGATCATGTGATCACCATTTTCAATCTTCCCAGCTGATTTTCAATATGCAAAGTTTGTAAGTTAAGGACTACTTATATTGAGTTGAGAGCCACATTCAACCTTTGAGTACTCTGCTTGGGCTACTGCAGTACAAAAATCAAATTCAGTACAAAAAATTAATGTAGTTAGTCGGAATGCTTCCCACCTGTTTAGCAGTCAGTAAAATGCTGTTATTAAGATGTTAGGGCCAAATTCAAGTCGTCTCTCATGTCATTGAGTGATTTGGGAACAATCTTCATCTCTCAGCCTATCTCACAGGATTTTTGTTATTGAAAAAAATTGAGGAGGCAATTCTATGAATGGAGAAAAGGTGCCATATTATTTAATGAATTATAATCATCAGATACCAAACTATACACTGTATGGATTATCTCTATAAAAACTGATTTTTTTAAAAATTAAACATGACTTCAATGGACGATTCACAATGTTGCCAGGGTTTATTCTCAAAATCATTACGTTTTTCTCATTGAGAAGACATGTTCTTTATTGGCATTCTTGCCAGGGGAAGTTGATGACCTTCTACTGGCATTCAAAGGTATTTTTATTCAAACAGATACTTGGTTTTGTAAATTGACTGTTAGAGCTACTGCAAACCTAGGCAGAATTGCCTCACATTTATTTGTTCTGACTGACTGGGTTGATGTTTGACCCACCTACCTTTAGGTTTTGATTGTTATATTTTGCTTTTTTTATTCACTTTTCTTAGTTGCCTTGAAAGATGAAATACAAATCTAATAAAGACGTATTCAGTAAAAAATCCCACATTCCAACATTAGCATTTCTACGCAGGGCCAGGGAGGATACTTGACAACAGCCCTGGAGTGCTACTGTTGATCAAAATAATTCAGCATTCCCCAGGGTGAGGAAGATTCTGTGATTAAACCGATCTTCTCTGACTAAATGTGATGCCCTCAAGATGTCTAGACTTCCGTTATCATCACCACTACCCTACTGGATGGGGAATAATAGGGAGTTGTAACTGAATACCTGTATTGTATTGTATTGTATTGTATTACTTGTATGCCGCCCTTCTCCGGGAGAACTCAGGGCAGCGAACAATTCAAGGGGAAAAAAAAGGGGGAAAAAACAAAATACAAATAATAAAAGTAGACAACAGTCGCACAACCATACATGTCGAGAGGGGAGGGAACTCATCACCCCCAGGCCTGTCGGCAAAGCCAGGTTTTGACGGCTTTTCGGAAGGCCTGGAGAGAGGTGAGGGTCCGAATCCCTGCGGGGAGTTCATTCCAGAGGGCCGGAGCTGCCACAGAGAAGGCCCTCCCCCGGGTAATAGCCAGGTGGCATTGGCTGGTAGATGGCACCCGGAGGAGGCCAACTCTGTGAGATCTAATGGGTCTGTAGGAGGTAATTGGCAGCAGGCGGTCTCTCAAGTACCCAGATCCAATACCACGAAGGGCTTTATAAGTTACGACTAGCACCTTGAAGCGTATCCAGAGACTGATCGGTAACCAGTGCAGCTCACGGAGGATAGGTGTAACGTGGGTGTACCGAGGTGCACCCACAATCGCTCGCGCGGCTGCGTTCTGGACGAGTTGAAGTCTCCGAATACTCTTCAAGGGCTGCCCCATGTAGAGCGCATTGCAGTAGTCCTGTGGGTCAATCAAGCTGAGAAAGGCTGAACTTCAAGGCATGTAAGAATCTCATGGGATCTTATGGAAGAATGCCATTATTTTTTGAGATTTAGTGCAAGGGTTGGTCCATTAAAAATAATTTTCAGTGCTTAAAATAAAGGAGAAATGGATTGTTATCTAGGTACTGCACTGGTTTAATCAAGCTAGCCTTTAGTTGTTATGTTTGTTGCTTATTTCCAAAGCCATCCAGATGTCATTGTTGAAGTGGCACATCCCTGCATTGTCCAGGATTATGGGGACTTCTTCCTTAAAGCTGCAGATTTTATGGTAAGGACTACAGCTGCTTACAGATAGAGGCAGGCAGCATCAGCATATTTTTTATTTTTTCCAAATATATTTAAAAGTGGACAGGCGAAATGCATCTTTTTGTTTGATTGAATGAAAAAATGTATCCATCTATACTATTGCTGTAAACATATCTGATGAAATATTATCTCTAGCCTTTGACCAGGATTCCTTGCCTGTCTGCCTTTTTAATCCTTTAGATTAGAATATCTTCCACCAATGAATGCACTCCAGATATATTGGTCTTGGAATTCCAGCCAGCCTAGCCAACACTCTTCCCTATGTGTTGGGTTTATAGCCCCTATAATTTGAAACTAGCACAGAAGGTGCTGATTTGGATATTTGCAATTGCATCACATCTGGAGAGACCAGTTTAAGTGTTTACTTAAAAACAATGGTATTGAATGGCGTCAAATTTCTTTCTGACTAGTCAAAGCTAAATCTTGCTGGAGACATTCTTCACTTCAGTGTATATTCCTCTAAGGCATTTTGAAGGAATCAATTTATTAAATGAATATTTAGCTAGCAGTGAAAAGACTATGTTCACACTTTAGCCTATCTTCACCCTGCCTCAACCAATGGAGCATCTTTCTCCAAATGTGATATGCAAAACACTCTAAAGAATGGTTTCTAGCAGGAATAGGTAATCTTTGGGTGATCAGAGACCATTCAATGTTTTGGAAGGGATCAATGATCATAGAGAGTGAAACAATAATGCAAATTGTGCATGGCTATGTCATGTACATGTACAGGATTTGCTATTTGTTCTGGTGTTTTGGGAGAAAGTTTGATGTTTTATCTGTTCTTATTTTATGTTAAGTTTATTTTTAAAGACTTGTGGTAATGTTTTCTATGGTAGAAAATTATGCCATTAAATTTTGACAAATGTTTGAGACAACCCTTGGAGTCTCAGTAAAGGGATATTAATTTGGATTACAAAATGTGGTAAACCTAAATTAACATTTCCAAACATGGCGTTTTCTAGATACATAGTCTAACTCCCAGAATTCCTTGTAAGGATGGCCATTAATGAGAAATCTTGAAGTTAAAATCTGCATATTTAGAATGTCAGCGTGTGAAAGGCTAGTCTAAATGAAATAAATCACATTATCACTTAGTATGCTATATGTACTTGGTCTCTGTATCCTTCTCCTTTGTATTACTAAATTAAATTATTCTGTACTCAATAATAATTGGAGAAAGCTAGTAAAAATATTGTCCTGAAGCACTCCTTTCCCAGACTCTGCACCATCAACAGTGCAAATGTCTCCATGTCCTCTAGGTCGGGTCACCAACAGCCCTAGCAGATGTGAACACTGATCTTAGATTACGTGAAGTGGCGAAAAGGACGGGTCACACTCTCTACATCCCCAGTGGGGCTCTATGGGGTGGTCAAGACATTCAAAAGTTGGATGATGCAGGGATGCTCCAGGTAATGCCTATAGAAATGGAGTAAGGTAGCCTTCCTTAAGCTACTGATATCTATAAAAAGTGGGGCTGCATACTCCAGAATTGCCAATCTGGAAAGGAACTGCAGTTATTGCAATCTTGGAGTTGTACTCTAGTCCAGATAGAAAACCTTAGCCTAAGAGAAAATGTTGATAAAAGAAAATTTGGACATAAATATTTGAAAAATTACTGACGTCATCAAATCCAACTGTGGAAAACTCCAGTTTGAAATACTGGAAAACTTTCAGCCAAGAAATTGGGGGGGGGGGGGTAATACTCTGACTTAATGTAAGGCACATTCTTATTCAGAAGTGGAAATCTTTGCATTAGGGTTCTACTATTAAAAGGCTAAAGAAAGGGATATTTAAGGATTTGTGATTTCTCCCAGACTCCATTTTGTCTTTTCTAGGCATTAACAGTCACCATGACTAAACACCCGGACAGCTTCCGGTTGGGTGGGTCTCTTGGGGAGCTTGCAAAGGGAGCCCATGAGGAAAGAAAGGTGCTGTACAATGGCCCTGTGCGGAGTTTATGTCCTCTGGCCCCCAACAATGTCAACACAATGGCAGCAGCTTGCATTGCTGCTCCAAGTCTGGGCTTTGATGGTGTGAAAGGTTGCCTTGTAGCAGATCCCAAGTAAGTCTTGAGCTAAAGGGTAAGCAGCTTGGTACCCATGAATCCCTCTCTTAGTCTCTAATGCACATCTTGCACCCCTGGTTTTTATTTGGGTTTCTTTTGTTATAAAAAAGTTTATTTCAGCCTTTTAAAATTTAAATGAAAAGCCTACATGCCTTATCTTTATTTACAAAACTTCTTTTGTTCCCCAAATAGGGCCTGCAGGCAATCTCAGAAAAAAAGAAATGAATGGGGGGAAAAGCCCAGAGATTTGTTTGGGAAAATACCAAGCAGAACTGGCAGCCCTATGTGTCAGAAAAGTCAAGATGATTTCCATGATAGTCATAAAAAGGAGTAGCTTTGCTCACCATGTAGAAATAACGACCTTGTCCTTTTTTAACCATACACTGTAGACACTCCTGGTATTATTATTTTTTTAAAGAAAACTCATATATCTAGGGAATATTCTGAGGACTACAATTGGTATTATATTTTTGATAAATAGATATTTTGCAACTGGACATAAATATCATGGTATCCATTTTCTGAAAGTGCTCAAGACATGATCTCCAATGTGGTAGGTGTCTCCCGCCCAAAGATGTAAAAGATGTAATGTCTCTCAATCTTGGCAATTTTAAGATGAGTGGACCTTAATTTCCAAAATTCCCCAGGCACTATGTTGGCTAGTGCAGCAGTCACCAACTGGTGGTCCACGAGAAAATGTTGGTGGTCCGTAGAAAAATTATTTGCATTTTTATATTGAACTAAATACTACTTATTATTTTAAAAAATTCATATTAGTGGTCCGCGGAATTTAAAATTATGAATTTGGTGGTCCCTGAGGTCTGAAAGTTTGGTGATCCCCTGGGCTACTGAATTCTGGAAGTTGACATCCACACATCTTTGTTGTCAAATTGAAGACCCACTGGTATGAAGCATGTGCCAGCAAACTCATGGCTTTGTGTCATTTTTCTTCTAAAATTCTGGTCTAATTGAACACAATTTTATCTTGCAGCCTTCCCAACTATCATGTGGTGATGATTGAAGCAACAGGCCCAGGGGGCTTCTCAGTCAGCACCAGTCGCAAGAACCCAGCTGCTTGTGGGGCTGTCACGGGGTCAGCCACCTTTGCTACTTTCTGGAGCAGCCTATTGGGTAAGGATTAAAACCTTCCCTTATCCAGAATCTATGAATCCATCATCTAGATTGTAGGTCAGTTTGTTCCAGTTCTGACTTTGATTAAAACAGTATCTGTAATTCTTGGTTGGAACTTAGCTTTCCCCAATCTTTCATGCCAACTGTGCTGGATAGTCATTTCCTAAATCTCACCTAGCATCACTCATCTCACTTCTCACTTCGCCAATTGCCAATTATCTCCACCAGACCGATTAGATCCCACAGACTAGGCCTCCTCCGAATTCCATCCGCCGGCCAGTATCGACTGGCGACTACCCGGAGGAGAGCCTTCTCTGTAGCTGCTCCGACCCTCTGGAACGAACTCCCCATGGAGATTCGCACCCTCACCACCCTCCAGGCCTTCCCCAAAGGCCTTAAAACCTGGCTGTTCCGACAGGCCTGGGGCTAAAGAACCGTTGCCCCTATCTCGAATGGTATGATTGTTGCGTGTTTTTAAATCATGTATTGTTTTGTGTTGTTGTTAATTTGTCTGTATTCCCCTTCCCTTGTTTGAGTTGTGAGCCGCCCTGAGTCCCCCTTCGGGGGAAAAGGACGGCATATAAATGAAACAAACAAACAAACAAACAAACAAACAAACTTCAGACGGGATTGAGTGAATCTAAGTCCAGTGCTTCTAAAAGGCAACAAGTTGGGGAAGTCCACTTGAATATTACCCTGAACGTGTAACTTTGATAGATGTGCAGATGTGGCAATTTCAACATTAGATTTGCAATTACAAACTACTGTATATCATCAGCTAAATATGCTTTTCTACACAAATCCTTAAGGATACAACACCCCTATCTATGTTTATATCAGACTACCTTGCTAGGTACTCTAAACTAATTTTGTTACAGCAATGTGGTCACTGATGCAGTTGGAATAGATCACTTGAGATCTTGAATAAAATAGGGGTCTCCTTTTACGGAACTATTTATTTTACCAAGAAATAAACATCCTTGTATTTTTAGAAAAAATTATAAAGGGGTTATTGGAACACCATTGGCTGGTCCCTGATTTTAACTAATTCCTGATCACCATTAAGGATAGTTTTAAATGCTTTTAAAAATTAAGGTGAAAGAATAATGTAGAAAGTAAGTCTTGGCATTCCCATGCCAACTTAAGTTCTTATACCATATCTAAATTGTTTTGGTTTTCTTTCTTTCTTTCTTTCTTTCTTTCTTTCTTTCTTTCTTTCTTTCTTTCTTTCTTTCTTTCTTTCTTTCTCTTTCTGGAAAGAGCGATGTGATTCCTGGGCTTTTGACTTGCGCACCAAGGCATACAGTAATCCTATCTGCACCACTGGAGGAATTATATAATTATATAATAAAATAATTGCTATAAGGAAGCAATGAGAAAATTGTTCCTATTATGAATATTACTCTAATGAGCAGAATGCCACATCTCTTGGTTATGCCTTTATTTAAATTGTATATTATTTGTTTCTTATTTTGTGTGATCTTTGAACCTTACTTAATAGTGATCAGGAGTCAGTTTAAGAAAACATAGACGGAGAGAAAGTGTGGTATAGTGGTTAAATTTATTTAGCATATGGCATATCATACATGGACTAGCAATATTTATTAACATTTCACCTAGATTAATAAAACACCATAAAATATAAATGTTAAAAAGATCTATGTTCAAATATTAACATCTACAACATTTAACCATTGAAGCACAGCATTTATATATTTTTTAAATTAAATACTGGACTGGTTCATACCCTTAGTTTACAGCCAGACACAATATGAACTACAGTATGAATTGGGAACGTACATATACACTAAGGGGAGGATACTATGCCCCATTTATACACAGAGTCCTGGCAGATTCCATGTGAGGTATGAATCCTATTCAGGATTATCCACCGTTGACATGATAGTTCAAAGGTTGGCACTTTTTTTTGTATATCTATATATATCTTGGTTAAATTATTAGCTTTAAACTGGGGATTTCAGATATTATGAATAGAACATCATTGGATTCAATTCATCTACTTCAAGGTCATTGCTGTGGGGATAAATAAAGGGAGATTCTCATGTAATCCACTTTGAGACAGGATATTAATCTTAAAATAAAATAATAAAAACTGAAAAGTAAGTGTTGCAACCCTACTTGGGCAAAGGTCCCCCTGAATTCAGTCATCTTTCCTCAAATATTTGGGACAGAATCAAGCAGCAAGATTTAACTCTGTGACAAAAGGATGGGAGCTTTAAACTCCCCGCCCCCAAAGCCATGATATTCTTCCCCAAATCTCAGTAGGTGAAATAGTTAGGTGCACCTAGTAGAAATGTCACTCTCTATAAAACTGAGATTTGTGGCTAAGAAATAAGGCTTCCTTTGCAACCTGCTACATGGAGAGAGGAATCAGTTTTAAAAGAGATAAATAGAATCAAACTTTACTTTAAAAAAATAGAGACAATGGCAAAGGGGATTAAAGACACAAAGCTGTTTAAATCACATACAGCATTTTAGGAAAATAAGCAAGAAAAGGTAAGGTTATAAGTAGTTCACAAATTGCTTATTCTTAATATAGAAGCAACTCTACTGTGAAAAGGAGCCATTTGCATAAAATATACAAGGATTGAAACAATTGTAGAGAAGCAATAATCACCAGAGATAATAGACTTAACTTCCCACATTGTTAAAATAAAAATTAATCTTAAAGAATATTTCTACCTAAATGTTTTAGTTTTCACTATTCCTTAGGATAACTTGATCAGTGAAGTTAAAGAATGTGTTAGCTTCTGTGAAGTTCTTTTTAAAATCAGAAACCAAAAAATTCTTCCCTTTTTGCTGTTGAATTCTGGTCAACTAATGGAAGAGACACTCTGAGGTAACCTTAAAACAATACTTTATTGATTCAACAGCAACACAACACCTGTAGAACAACTTCAGCACCACACTCTGCTTGACAGCTATTTGTACTCGAGCTGCCAAGCAGAACAACCAATAGGTATGCAGTAAAAGTCCTGCTTCAGCCAGCCGGGTCTCAGCTAATGAGAACTGTCCTTTTGTTACTGGGCTGACAGGTCATAGGTCGAGAACTTTCGGCTAGTCATAGGTTAAGGACTTTTGGCCTGTTGCAAGTCAAGGACTTTACACTTGCCATATAACTTTTTACTCAATTTCTCAAAAGTTCAGTTTTGTTTTTGAAAAGGGCCCAATTTAAATATTTTTAGAAAAGAGGAACTGGCTGAGGAAATTGATTTGTTTAGATACTGAAGCAAACTTTTGCTTTAGACAATTCTAAGGGATTTGGCTAAGAATCAGGTTTGGGAAATCCCGTAAAACCAGTAACCTTTTTCTTCCTATAGCATGCCAAGGGCATGGAGGCCGAGTCTACCTATGCTGAGTTTATGAGATTTCTTCCTAAGAGGATTTACAGAAGATATCTGGAAGTAATTACAATGGAATGGGAAGACCAAGAAAGGTAGCAGCATCTCATTAAAGGAAGCAGAAGAAACCTACTCATACATCTTGGATGGTTTCAGTTTGTCAGTCAAATAAATCAACTTTCTCCAGTCTGAACACCTTGCAAGTGTGCAGACCCCTTTAACCAGCAGAATGATTGCTGAGAATTTTGAGAGTAGAGGTCCACAGAACTGAAGCAGTGCTGAAAATGAGGGAAGTTGCGATGGTGGGATTTATTTACCTTCCCTACCGGTTTGCAAATGTGAGTGCACACGCCACCTTCTGCACATGTATAGAAGGTTGTGCATTATGTTGGGGCAGGTGGGCAGAGTCTCTCACAGCCGTGGCTACCGGTTCACCCGAAGCAGAGCAGACCAGTGAATACCACCTCTGAGAAGCTAATAAAATAACTCATAAGCTTTTGTCTATTTCCTCAAAATCAGTATTTCCCAATATGGCATCTTCCAGATGTGTTAGGAGTACATCTCTTATCATTCCTGCTCAGCATAGTAGCTGATTGGGTGCATTGTTGGGGGCTGTAGTCCAATATCTCTAGTGAACTTGGATAAGTTCACTAGAGAATACTGTCCTAAATATGGCTTTTGCTTTCCAAGCTGACAGTGCTTTTGATTCTATCATCCTTCTGGGTTCCTTACATTGTCTACAAAAATAAAGCCAGTTTGGTTGAGTGGGTAAGCCACTAGGCAAGAAACCGGAAGACACTGAGTTCGAGAGAGGTTTTATGCATGACAGTGACTTGGGGTTAGTCACTTTCTCTCAGCCCAATCCACCTCACAGGTTTGTTGTTGCAGGGATAATAGGAGGAGAAAGTAGTATTGTGTGTGCCAGCTGCCTTGAGTGATTTACAAAAAATAATAAATGTGACATGGGGATAAACTGATTCAAATGAGACAAAGTTCAGTTGCTGGAATTCTTGCAATCCTATCTCATTCTTTGCAATAAATCTTGTTAAAGAGGCACGGTGACAATTGTGCTTAGGAATATCATTTTTGCTTTTAGCTGGATGCTTAAAGATCTGACAATATGTTATTTGAGAGCAGGTTGCATTATTCTTATCAGAGGGATGTCTCAAGGGAGCTTCTCCTGAAATTCTGAGCATTTTAGAACAGAGCAGAACTACAAGTCCTGAAATCCAAGGGCCCCCATGTGGCCTTACAAAGCTATGAATGCCTCCCAAAGTTGTTACCAAATTGTCATATTTAATATAATAGGTGGAAGAAATATAAAACTCACGAGTAACAGATAATCTAATCTATTATATTTGAGTTTAGTTTATAATAAAATTTTATTCATTACTATACTTCCAGGGTGAAAAGATCACCCAGTAACTCGCTGTTGCCTGAGGAGACACCCAGCAGGAAGCTCTTTTCATGTCCCTTTAATGAGCTTTAATGGTACCTATTTATACTCATGTTTTTACGCTTTTGAACTGCTAGGTGGGTAGGAGCTGGAGCAAATGACGGGAGTTTATCCAGTCACACAATAGCACTTGGGTTTCAAATGTGAGTTGCAAATTTTCAACCCAGCATCGTAATCACATGAGGCACCACTCTCCTTATTCATTAGTATAGAGAGTTAATTCAAATGTAATTCTTATCCTGATCCTATTCACTACTGCAAGATGCATACCAATGATAGGCCCAAATGCAGCTCTCAGATTTAAGAAAGGACATCCTGGTTAGAGAGGTGGGGAATGACACTTGGTGATACTTAACTGCAACACGAGAAGGTCAGCCAGTCTCATAGTGAATGCATGATGCTAGTTAAGAGAAGCACAAACAACAAAAATTACTTATTGGCTAAGGCTACAAAAACCAGGTTTAGGCCTGAAAGCTGGCTGAGTGACTTTGTACCAGTCCCTTTCTCTCAGCCCAACACACTTTACAGGAGGACAATAGGAGATTACTAGGCATGTTCACCATCTTAAGTCATTTATAAAAACAATAATGGCGGAAAACTGCTTTTTTAAAATCTATTTTCCCAAGTATTTATATGCTTACACAGGAAGACTCCTTTATATTCTTTTCTTAATTTATCCATTTAAATGGAATAAAGTCATTAATTATTAAATTCCATTTGATTCTATTTTTTTAATTTAACATAATTAGTATTTAACTTGAAGCTGTCATTCAGCTGAATAATTTTTATAAGGAAATCTGCCATTATGAGCTTCTTTGTTCCATCAATCCTAGGTGTGACTTGAAATATACAGGACATAATTAGTACCCAACTTAAGCAATTTCACAGTCTTTAGGGCAGCAACTTTATTAAGTCAACCTGAAGGTCCTAATAGGTAAAATTTGGAGAGCTTTAGATCTCCTAAATTGGCTATTACATAGTGATACTGATCATTTAATGTTATAGTAGTCAGAATAACACTGCTTAATGAAGAAATTAAAACACTTTGCTGTCTATTAAGTTATGAGACATCCCACTTATTTCAAACATCAAAGGAGAAAAATAGTTAGAGGATGTCTGAAAAGATTGTTCAGTGCTACCCAATATCCTTGAGAGAGTGTGTATATGTATGTGTCTGTCTGTCTGTCTATCTATTGCAACATTACTTCATGTTTCAAAGCAGGTCCCACCAATTTAGCATCCTTCATCTATGCTGTGGTTGCAAATTCCAAAATTCAAAATGTGAAAATTTAAGCAGGTGCTACTGCTCAGCTGACCTTGACTAAGCTCAGAAATTTTAGGCTGGACTGAGATGCTGAAAAGCACCCTAGAAAGCAGTGGGAATAAAATACTACTACGGTGTTGCCAAAAATGCACTGGCCATATCCAGATCTCTCTCGGTTTCAAAAGGGATATTTATGTACAGAATTTGTGGAAACTTTTATAAAGAATGAGTGCCTTTTCAGCATTTTAGCTTCAGAGGAGATTTTTTATCTATTTAACGAAACTTTTAAAGAATGAATGCCTTTTCAGCATTTTACAGCATTGTATGAAATTAAGACAAAGGTAGCAACTCTTTTGGATAGATAGGTGTAGTTGGAATTTTGCCAGCATGTCATAAATACAGACAAAATGGCTGATGGAGGAAGCTCATTTATTCATAAAATGGCTGCCACAATGGCATAAAAGCTATTAGTAGTATTTGTAGAAACTTTATCTTGTTTAGCTGGATGTTCTCTGCCTCCATAGTAAGTAGACACATTTCCAAGCAAAGTGCTGGACTGAAATTATATCCACATTTTTTATTTTATGAGAATGTTTGCCTATGCCAGGGGCATTCTTGTAAATAAAGGTGATTGTAAAACCTGGCATTTAAAAGCATTTCCCTTTTCTATTTATTTGTTTTTCTTTTTTAAATTAAAAGATTAAATGATAAGATCAGGTTGAGCTAGAAGCTATGCAGACCTCATGTGTTGAACATATCTGTACTCATAGCACGCTGCTTATACGTAGATTAAGAGCTATTGCCTTTTTTTTCTTACCAGAGCCTGTCATTTATAGACAGAAATTCAACAATGTAATATACCATTTAAAAAGTTACAATGGTGGGTTGCTATACATCTAGAACATCTCCTACACTTTTGGACTATTGTAACAAACTCTATATGAGTTGCCTTTGAAGATTAATCAGATGTTTCAAATGTCCAAAATGTTGCAGCTGAATGAAGCTAAATCGATGTTCCCATATAAATATCTCCAGGATCTACATTGGTTAAAAGTTAACTTCAAGATACAATTCAACATGCTGGTTGCCACCTTTAAAGCCTACACACTTTAGGACTTGTGTACTGCATTTACAAAACCATCTATTTTCATTGGTTTCTACCTGTCCAATAAAGATCTAGAAGAATGACAAAATTCTCATAGTTCCCCTTCTTTGGAATTATATTTTCGATATAATTATACCTAAATCTCCGTGTGTGTGTGTGTGTGTGTGTGTGTGTGTGTGTGTGTGTGTGTGTGTGTGGTGAAAGTTGAGCATATTCCTATTAATAATAATAGTGTTCTGTCCTTGGAGATACAACCAATGGCTGTCAAGAAATACTACGCCCCAACGCCATCTCATTTTGTTCTCAGGCAATTGTTCAGCAAATGTACCCAAGCTGAGGGAGATACATTGCCTCACTGAGGGCTGCTGCCATCCATTGTGAATTTGGGGACCTGGATGAGGCACTGCTAGAACAATTCATTTACGGCTTCAGAGATATGCTCCTGCAGTGAAGGCTTCTATCTAGGTCTGAGCTCACGTTAAAAATTGCCATGAATGAAGCGCGAGCAACAGAGATGGTCAAAAAAAATCTACATCTGAAATACATCATTATCAAATACATCATCATTTGAAATCTACATCTGAAATACATCATCATTATCAAATGGCTGCTAATCTTCCCTCAATGGCTTCCTCCATCCACCACCAGGATGAAACTGAAGATGTTGATTCTGAGGTGGATCTCGACATCAGCCGCCTCAAGCTATTTGATTAGAGGGGAGTTGGCAATAAAAAGGACTGGAAAGGGTGTTTAAGCTGCGGTGGTAAACACCTTAGGTCTAACTGTAGATTTAAATCTGCCATTTGCTGCCATTGTGGGAGAAACGGCCATATAGTGAGTGTATGCCATGCTGGGCCCCCTGATAACCAGGGTTCTGTTGTTTCTAACCGCCATGGTAATGTCAAAACTGGTGTCAGGCATCAGAACTGTTTTGCTATTGGGAACCATGACGACAACCGCTCTAAATGGGCTATTGACTCTGCCTCTTCGGTGTTGGGTGGTCGCGTTAAGATTCACCTCAAGCTTTCTTCAGAGGGCAAACCCTGTACCATGGAACTTGATACTGGATCGGCTAAATCTATAATATCCTGGGACACTTGCACCACTTTTTGCAAAGTCTACAGCGCCATCAATTGTTGTCTACCCAATGCCATTTGAGGGACTACCAGGGCAACTCTATTCCCATCGTAGGCTGTGGCCAGTTCCTTGTGTAGTATGGCCATTTCCAAGGGCACCTGTCCCTTTTTATAGTAGCAAAGCCTTTGGCTTCGTTACTTGGTCTTGATTGGTTCCAAACATTAGGGTTTTCCATTTCTGGCATTCATTCGACCCTACTGGGGAACGAATTTGACTCTTTGACTCAGGAGTTTGCCGATGTTTTTGATTCCTCCCTCAGGAAATATAAGGGCACTCCTATTTCCCTCAACCTTGATCCACAGATGGCACCCATTCACCTTAAAGCATATAGAGTTCCATTAGCATTAAAGGAGAAAGTGGATGCAGAAATAGACAAATTATTAGTGCAGGGGTTTTTAGAACCTGCAGACCACGCAAAGTGGGAAACCCCTATTATAATTCCCCTAAAAGCCAAAGGCATGATAAGAATCTGCGCGGACTATAAATCAACTTTAAATAAGGCATTGCAGGAACATCCATACCCTGTTCCAGTGGTTCAGCAAATATTGCATTCACTGGGCCAAGGTAAGGTGTTCGCCAAACTGGATTTGGCACAAGCCTACCAGCAATTGCCAATAGATGAGGAAGCTGCGGCTGCGCAGACAATCGTAACTCACCGCGGTACTTTTAAATGTCGCTGGCTTCAGTATGGGGTTAGCATGTCCCCAGGTTTGTTTCAAAGCCTAATGGAGTGAGTGCTCCATAGCACTACCAGGGTCATTCCTTATTTCGACGATGTCCTGATTGCTGCGGATGGTCACTCAGGTGTCACCGAAAAGCTGCTGGTTTTCAGCCGTTTCCATGAGCGAGACTCAGGCTGAAACATTCCAAGTGCAAGCTAGGGGTGCCTCGGTGGAGTTCCTTGGGTATTTGATAGACCAGCATGGGATTCACCCTACTCCAGCTAAAGTGGAGGCTATTATCTCAGCTCCTGTGCAATCCAACAGAACTAAATTGCTGGACAGCTCCGCTGAGTGGGTCTGGACTAGCCGCGAAGTGCATGCGTTCGCGGCTGTCAAAAAGCTGTTAACTTTGGCCCCTATGCTAGTACAATATAATGAACATTTCCCCCTGATTCTTGCTTGTTATGCCTCCCCTTTTGAAGTTGGGGCTGTTTTAAGCCATGTCTATCCTGACGGTACGGACGCTTCTATAGCCATTTACTCCCGCACTTTATCAAAGGCTGAATATAATTATAGTCAGCTTGATAAAGAGGCCCTATCTATCCTGACGGTACAGATGCTCCTATAGCCATTTACTCCCGCACTTTATCAAAGGCTGAATATAATTATAGTCAGCTTGATAAAGAGGCCCTAGCAGCCATTGAGGGAGTAAAACATTTCCACCATTACCTTTATGGCCGTCCATTCCATTTAGTGACTGACCATAAACCGCTTCTGGGAATCTTAGCAGGGGATCGGGCCACGCCACTGGTCATCTCCCCATGCATTTCACGTCGGCAAATTTCTGGCTGTTTATTCTTATCAAAAAATTCATAGACCAGGAAAACATATGGGGCATGTGATGCTCTGAGGCGCTGCCCATTACTCGTTTTAGTAACAGGCCCGGCCCCTCAAATACTATCTTTTTAGTTGACGTTCTTAACATGCCCCTATCAGCTACCGATATTGCTCAATATTCATTGAGGGACACCGTCCTCTCCGAGTATTTGATTCGGTATGCAGAGGATGGCCACCATATTAAAGAGACCTTCAGTTCCTTCCATACTACCGATGTAGGGAGGAGTTGTTGGTAATGCAAGGGTGTTTGTTATGGGGCTCTTGCCTCGTGCTTCTGACAGTGTTGTGACAGCACATATTACTCCATCTCCATGAGGGTCATCCAG